GTTTATTCATGAATTTTATCTCAAATCAAATTAATTCAATTCTTCTCCTATCTGTCTAAGAAATACATATAATTTATATAAATAGTGTTAAGTAAATAGAAATTTCCTCATTTGAAAATTACTAAAAATTCTATAATATATTATATTAAGTAATATTAATTTCACAACATAATATTATTACTATTAAAAACTACAGATATTTTATATAATTATATTATTGTTTAACTAATGAGAAAATTGATCAATTTTTTTATTCGTACATCAATGTAATTTAAAAGCATAAGTGAATTGCATATTTATAATATAATATTAATTGTTAGATATCATATTTTATAACAGTAATTATATTATGAAAATTTAGTATTACAAAAATATTTTTCAGAAATTTTATAATAATTTTTTAACTTGAATACAGATAGTTAAGTATATATACCAAGCAATAAATGCAATGAAAAACTAAAAAATATAATTCAATTTTATGTATAAATTGCGAATCCATGAGAGCAACGGTTTCTCAAACAGATTATGTCTTTGAATATTTATAACATCCGACGAGTGAATAAACATTTTAAATTATTTTTAAAAATTTATAAATTTTATAATATATATATTATTTTATTCAATGACTATATTTTTAACGGAACCAATATTTGCATATAATCTATGCATACATATTTATATTGCATATATATTATGTATGATATATAATAAAACATTATGAAAGTTAGTCCAATATATTTAGCATAATATTGTTAGATTTTTTAACAGACAGACACTGTAAATCAAGTCAATTCAAATTATTGTAATAATAATATTATAAAAATAAATAGTTTATCTCTCTCTCTCTCTCTCTCTCTCTCTCTCTCTCTCTCTMTTTTATTTATTTAATAATCAAATAAATGAAATGCATATAGAGTTCATTTGGCAACACAACTATACAATTATTATATAATATATAAACTTCTGTTTATATAATAAATAGTATATATGAATGAATGAATAATCAAAATAATTGCTTTCATAGCATTTGATTCAATTAAGATGTGCACTCATATAAATTTAAGACATTATACCGTATACGTACTGTATGTATAATGTGTGTGTGTGTGTGTGTGTGTGTGTGTGTGTGGACGTTTTCTTAATTTAAACAAATTAAATAAGATATTGAGATTAAAAATAAGATTTAATTATACCCAACCAACAGGGATATAGCATTTTATATACTTTATTATTGACTTCAATACTTTTGAAAATTTAAGCTTTTAATTAAAAATATATCCAAATATGCAAAATATAAATTATATAACTTATATTGAAAGTTGCTTAAATTGTTAAAATATTGTTAATTGTAATGATTTTATATAAACATTTACAATAGTACTATATTTTATTTTCAGCTAATTATATGTAAATTTACAATTCTATAGCACAAAAATCTTTTAAAAAATTTGCCGAAAGCTCTCATAATATTTGTATAAATTATGTAAACATTGTAAACAAAGTAATCAAAAAAATAAAATACTAAGTCATTTGAAATTTATGGGTATTTATAAACATTGCGATAATAGGGAAATAGAGAAAACAAAATTCAAATATAATGTACTTTATATAGATATCTAATATTTCGTGAAATAGTTTAACAAAACAAATATGTGTTGAGTGATAAAAATAATTGAATTCTTATAACATTTTTTTAAAAATGATAACAATATATTTACTATTAATGGAAGCGAAGAGAGAGAGAGAGAGAGAGAGAGAGAGAGAGAGTTTGAGGAAAAGTAAGCGATAAAAACGAGATGTGATTTAGAAACATATTTTACAGACATATCATATCATATCGATTGAGGAAATAAGTCTTAAACTTTGCCGAAAAAATTGTTATGATTTTTATGGCTTTAATTTTTTTCTTCTATACTATTCATCAGGAAATAGAAAATTTTGTTAGATTACTATTGAAAATATTATATACAGTATATTATATATTTCTGATAAATTTATTTTTAGGCTTAAAATTTTCATAAACTAATTTATAACAAATAATAAGCATTGGTCACAAATACACAAAGCAATATATTATTTATAATATATATATAAATTTATATATATATTGTTAAGAGTCGAAATCGTTTTGCTTATGATTTTGACAATATTTATGACAAATCAACAAAATTATGCAAATTTTCTTCACAGCACACAAAATGTTTTGTCAAAAATGAGTTTTTGATTTAAATTTGATTTGCATTTACATGTAAAACATAATCTAAAACATCATATTTATGTAAATGCCATTACATACAAATTCATAAATCATTTTAATAAATCTGATAATTGTCAAAACATATAGATATATGTAAGATATAAAATTAATATATAGAAAATTATAAATGTTTCTCTATATTAATATTTTTAAATATTATATAATATTATATAATCTCTATATAAAAATTTTGTGTAGTTTTTAAAAATGCATTATTAAAATACAAAATAAATATTATAATTATATTAATATATTATTTTTATTATTATTAAGTATGTTATACGGTATAGTGTAGATTATATATAAAATTAAATAATTTATTTAAAATAATAAATTATATAAGTTAATTTAATTTAAAAGTTTTATAGTAAATTAATTTGTACAAAAAAAATATTTTTTATATAAATTTATGAATTTGGGTGTAGTCTAATAGAGAAAATTATCTTACAAACTATTTTATATAATTAGTAAAAATAGTCAAAAATAAAAATAATGCTATAATAAAATTAATTTTAAAAGTGTTATAAATTAAATTATAATCGCAAAAATTTATATTAGTTAGCAAGGATATATAAACAAACAAATACTATTATTATTATTATTATTACTACTACTACTACTACTACTACTACTACTACTACTACTAATAATAATAATAATAATAATAATAATAATAATAATAATAATAAAGAGTAAATGTGAAAATAGCTTATGTATGGCTAACAAACTAATCGTTAATTGAATTGATTGATGAAAACAGCATAAACAGTGCCCAACAATACCCGGTATATAATTAATCATATTTTCAGATCCATTAGACTAAATGACTCACTTTTTTCGTCTAAATCGACATTTACTTTCCTTTTTTTATTATTATTATTATTATTATTATTTAATTCAATGTTACAAATGCTAATGACTTTGAATTTTTGTTTAAAAAAATTGAGATTCATTTATAGCACTTCTTTTATACCTTTTATTTGTGTGTAAATTCAGAGAAAATTAATCACAATTTTTTTTTAAATAACGGGAAAAATGTTTTTTTTCTGTATAATAATTTTAACAACAAAAAATATTAACGCAAATATTCACAACGTTTAGACGATATATTATAGTAAAAACTTAATTAAATTAAGAGCTCATTAGTGTGTGTCTCCCCTTAAATGATTAAAATAATAGTAATTTTTTATTGGCAAATATTATGTAGGTATGCCATTGTGTTTATTATTAATATTTTAATAAAACAATACTATAATACACAAACACTATATATATTATATATATATATATATATATAAGATATAATAAATATGAAATTAATATTGATCGACAAATATTATAAGTCCGGGTCATTCAAGTATAAGTTATATATCATAGTATATGGTAAACGATTATCACATTTCGCGTGTTTGCCACTCATTTAGAGACTCAGTTAGATGTGTGCCCTTTCCATCAGTTAGATAGATATATGGTATATATCCCCCAAAAAACAGTGTGTGTGTGTGTGTGTGTGTGTGTGTGTGTGTGTGTGTGTGTGTGTGTGTGTGTGTATGTGATAATGTTTACATTTCATGATTAGACAATCATATTTTTTATTGATCCCCCGGTACTATACATACACACATACTCTACCATTAGTGCAATTTTCGCCAACAAAATAATAATAATAATAATATACACACATCCCATAAAATGCATTACCCCATCCTATATATATATATATATATATACTATATTGAAAAATCGTATATCAAAATCATTTTTGTTTTATTTAACTATCATCATATAAGATAAAAAAATATGACAATTTTATATTAATTTCAATTTATAGCAAAATAATATTATTGTTTTTATTTTTAGTTTAGCCTAGAAAATTATATAACATTTTATTATCGCTACTAAACTGACATTTTTACTTGTAATAATAATATATTGTAGTAAATTGTAGTAAATTGTAGAAAATTGTAGAAAATTGTATAATAATAATAATATTTTATATTTTATACGTAATGTACTCAAATGTATCCATTTTAAAAAATGATTTTTTGTTATCAAATTTTACTAAATAAATAAATTTTAATATGAATTAAACAGCTATTAGTGAATATTATAAAATTGAAAGATATAATACAAAAATATATTTATTTTATTATATATATAAATAATAAAATATTTTTAATATTCAGGATTTGTAAAACAAATATTAAATATTAGACATACATATAATTAGCTAAATTTTATTGAACTAAATAATTATAAATATGTCTTATATTGTATTTAATAATAATTATTGCCATATATATAGCATATTCACAATTTTTAAAACTTGCGCTTAAATGTGATGTCATATAAAAATCACCATGGCAACACTAATATAGTATTATAATACAGTCTAATCCGATTATTATTATTACTAAAATAATTTGTGAAAATTTAATAAACTAAACAAAACTAATAATTTAATTAGTTTTTGTTATAAAAATATTTTTTAAAACTAATAAATACCATATATTAATGTAAGTATGTGTACAATGCTATGTCATAATGGCATGACTTGTGGTCTAAATACCGGCTCTTATAATACATAATACAATATATAATATACAGTACAACACAAATCTAATGGTTTTTTTTAAATACAACTATACTGTAAATAATATGATATAATATTTACTGTATAGTACACTGTATTGGTTAATAAAAACGTGTATTATATGACATGTATTGGCAATACTTTCATTACTAACCGTTTGTTTAATAAAACCTTTAGTTAATAATAATAAGACATATTTAAGTCATATATTATATGATTTTTTTATTTTGAATCTCAATATTGTGTCTCAAATAATATCACACTTTGAATCTCATTTACACACAACTCATACTAATAATAAACAATATGTAAGTATTGAATATAAATAACTATATTTGATATCTTTGACTGCATTTTGATTATAACTTATAGTTATATATGATATACTAATTGTGTTAAACAAACAAATGTTACGCAAAGTATCCGTCAAATAAAACTATAGTTTATTTTTATTAGCAAATTGTAATCAACAATGTTTGAGATATTTTTACCGGTATATTGTTATTATTATACATACAATACTGTAATTTATATATTAATTTAATATATCTATATATATGTGTGTTTACACTACACTACTGTAGAATTTTTAAGCAATTATTGTTTTATACACTAATTAATAGAGATTAACACCAATTTGTTAAGAGATTATCAAATCAATTGAATAATCAATTTTTCAATAGCAATGTCGTCTCTATGTGTAAGTTATAGGATATTAATATTTATGATTTGATAAATTTATATAATTTCATAATACTTTAATAAGACATTTGATAAAACCTTTAAAAAATACCACTAGAAATTATTATATGTATTTAAAAAAATACATTTATAGTATTAATACTATTTAGTTATACAGTAGTTATATTAATAAAATTAATTGTAAGTGTAGTGTAGTGTTGATATCAGTGTTAAAAAGAGTGATATTAAAAAAAGTAGTTTTAATACTTATATTGAAAAAAGCAATGCATTTATTCAATTCATTTTAAATTATATTTAATATTATAATATAATAAAAACTTTGTAATCCATTGAAGTCTAGGCTTAGACGGCACACAATTTGTCCACTAATCCGATCGGCGATTTGTATATCACTATACAGGACATCATACCAACCATTTGAATATCGACTGCAACAGCGGACACTTCATTGTCGTTGTGTCACTAAATTAGATAAAGTTTTTTCTTCTCAAAGATCTAATTGTTCGACTTCTTTGTTTCGATTGTCTTCTTCATTATCAATGGCCGCGTTTACTGTCAATGAGAGAGGACAGAGAAATACTGCCGATTTTCGGATATTTTATAGTAAGTATTACTTATACCAACTGTTCCTAAATATGCCAAATCATCGAAATTGATGTTAAAAGTATGTCATTTATTTTATTATAATATAAATGTATTTTTAATATATAGCCAACAAAGAGACGGGAGCGTCTATATCTCCGTGGCACGACATTCCCCTATTTGCCGATGAACCCAATCAAGTGTATAATATGGTAGTTGAGATCCCCCGATGGACTAATGCAAAGATGGAGATTGCGACCGGAGAACCATTGAATCCAATAAAACAGGACATAAAGAAAGGACAGCTAAGGTTTGTTCGCAATTGTTTTCCTCATAAGGGCTACATCTGGAACTACGGAGCAATTCCTCAGACGTGGGAAAACCCGAAACATTTGGACGAATCTACCGGTCATAAAGGCGATAACGATCCGATCGATGCCTTAGAGATTGGCTCCCGTGTGGCTCAAAGGGGTGAAGTGGTCAAAGTTAAAATACTAGGAGTTATGGCTCTTATAGATGAGGGCGAGACCGACTGGAAGGTGATATCTATTGACATTAACGATCCACTCGCTGATCAATTAAACGACATTCAAGATGTCGAGATGTTGATGCCGGGTCTCATGCGTGCCACTCACGAGTGGTTCAAGATCTACAAGATTCCCGACGGAAAGCCTCCCAATCAGTTTGCGTTCAATGGAGAGCCCAAGAATCGAGAGTTTGCAGAAAAAATTGTGTCGCAAACACACAAGCATTGGAAGGATTTGGTCGGCGGTACCGATGGCACTGAATTGTCACTGAAAAACATTACATTAGGCAATACTCACTCGATTGACGTCCAGAGTGCCGGTGCTATCGTTAATCAAAGCCAAGAGTCAACGGCTTTGCCGGAGAAACCTATCGACGATCAAACGGCTATTGATAAATGGTATTATATTACATTACCATAACTCTCTACGAACATTAACTACCGGAGCCAACACATAGTCTGTCAATTGGTGTGTTTTTTCCCAAAAAGCTAAACAAACAGTTTTTCTTATATTTTTATATGATATATATTACATCTAATATGACTTATTAGATTGTAGTTAAAAACTACTGTACTGATCATTTGCTGCGATTTTTTTAGACCAAAATAAAAATATAAATTATTAAATGAAATGAAAGGCATATATTCTTTCAACTCTCTCTCTCTCTCTCTCTCTCTCTCTCTCTCTCTCTCTCTCTCTCTGTTGATATATTCTTAGTTTTATATATGATTTTTGCGAAACATAGAGTATAAATGATAGATATTTTTAAGCCTCTATTGTATGCAATCATTTGTCAAATTTGACTTTCCTTAACAATTTGTGATTTATTTGTTACTAATTTCTATATAAAAATATATATATTTTATTACTTTTCTCATTAGTTTTTATAACAGGTTATATTAATTACTGTAATGATACAGTATTTTATATTACTATACCTAATACTGTACTGGTATTTACGTCTAGATTTTTAATTATTACAGCTATCAAAATTGATTTTTGAAATTTATCACATTTATTATTGTTTATTAGGTACTTAAAATTACAGTTGTATATAAATTAAATAGTCGATTGCCTTATATGTAAACTATTTTGCTTTTAAAATGTTTTATTTAATACATATTTCAAGTTAGTATAAATTTCTTTATTAGCTAATAATTATTATACAATATAAATAAATTGTTTGAATAGTATTTTTACTAAAATAAAGATATAGTGAAATGAAAAAACTTAATTATATACAGTCGTAAAAACAATTGAATAGTAAAGTTATCTTAAAGTTTGTTTTGAAATTTCTTTTTGTTGTTATGTTTGAATCTATTCGACCAATTATTTTTCGACTTTACTGTAGATTGCATATGATATTCAGTGATAAATAAATTGTCATTTCTGGTTACCGTTTGGTCAGTTTTCAATTTTTTGTGTTTATTTCTCTTTTTCTTTGACCTATCGATGTTGTGTTGGGAGATATGCCTCTTCCAGTGCACTCCTGATGTATCGATCGTCCGGTGCGCCGGAGTCTGTGAACTCCTTAAGCCTTCGAAAGCATTGAGTATAGTGTTGTTGTCATTTAGTCTACTAAAAGATGTCTCATTTAATATTCGCTGTTCACCAATGGATCTATTATTTAAACCATTTCTTGACGAACCAGGTTTCGGTTTTTGATGTCTTTGGTCGGCCTCGATATCACTAGAGTCTGAGCTATTGCTGACATCACGATCGTAATAAATCCATTTAATGTGTTTATTTTTATTATTATTATTAAATGTGGTCTTCAAATGAGTGGTGGGAGGAGTGGATGTGGCACTGGTTTGACTCAAATTCAGCTCATCTAATGGTTTATTAAATGATGCGCTCAAACAACTCAATTCATTACTGGAAATGCTTTTCACAAATTCATTACATAAGGCTTTTTTGTTGCAATCGTTTCTTCTTCTGTTATTATTATCTTTACTGCTATTAAAACAATGAGTTCGTCTTATAGATGACATTAGAGGGGATACTGGGCTCATATGTTTGGATATTCCTTTTATATGACATTCCTTTAGATAGGACACACAAAATAAATAAATAATTAATTAAAGGCAAACAAATAGAGTTTTTATATTTAATAGGTATTAACCAAACGGCAAACATTTGTTACATGTTTTTTGAATTAATAAATGAAAGACAAATGACTGCTCAATAGTATTAAATTATAAATAAATTTATAGATATATTTAGCCGTAAATTACTTACAAATCCAAAGTGTTTGCCAATAGCACCACAATTATAGCAACATTTCCGCAAATTCGCTGACAAATTGTTAATCACTGGATCTTGTGAAGTAAATGTCGTCTAAAAAAATATTTATAGCATTCAATCAATTAAATCCTAAGTTAAGTACAGAAAGAAAAAGAGAGACCAAATGGCAGAGAGAGAGAGAGAGAGAGAGAAAGCACTAACCGTTAAGTGATATTTTCTCCAATTATAAGTACATTGATTTGTTTTATGTCCTAATTTATTACAAACTTCACAAACCAATGCATTAACCTTAAGATTACAATAACTAGTTTTATGTTTACTCGACAGACATATGGAACAGATAATCGATTTGCACTTTTCCGAGACGTGGCCACTCTGGCCGCACATATAACAAATCGGCAATTTCTGTAATTTTTATTAAATAAATTAATTGACGATTCATTTGGTAATAAATACGATAATACCTTAGGTATTGGACAGTCTCGGGCCTGATGTCCCCTTTCTTTACAATTATTACAAAACATTTTGTTTCTGTAATATCGATTACTTCTGGTATTATTTACAAGAAGATCATTATAACTAATTCTCCACAAACTCCTGTCGCCACTCATTCTCTTGTATTGTGCTCTTTCTTCTTCACTGTCGTAATCGTCTTCATTGTAGAACTGGTCCATCGATGATGACAGTGTTGTTTCATTCAAATTACTAACATTTCCAAACGATATGTCCGACGACTTTATCGGTGAACACTTTGGTGACTGTTTTGTTGGCGAAGTCTTCTTCGGTGAGCTATATCTAATGATATCATTTCTACAATGACTTCTGTTATTATCAATTATAACGACATCGGAATCATCTGACGAGTTGTCGTTCAATTCAATTAACTCTATCTTTCGTTTAGTACAACTCATGTCTACATTATTAATCACTTCTACACCGCTGTCAATATCCTCAATGTCTTCATCCATATCATATCTTTTAGCCAAAAGTGTAAACAAATTGGTCAGCGGTTTGTTTGAACTCAATTTAAGTTCATAACTATTATTCCTATTATTATCGTTGACTTCGGACTTCGGCAGTGAAAACAATTGTCTTTTATCTATACTTTTGATTTTCTCTTCTAAACGTATCGGCAAATGACTATTATTTTCATTTAGTCGGCCATCGATTGTGTCCGCAAACGAGTGATGAATAGCTCCGTACAGTTCAACCTCGAGATCGGAACTAATTTCGTCGGAGTTATAGCGCGAACAGTCGTCACTATCGTTCAGCACATCCATTGATTGGCTGATATAAAACTGTCAACACTTTTAGTGTCCTCAATACCATTGACCGTCGGAAGTGTTGAATGTGTGACCACTGGTCTCACAAAACACGTTATCAAAACATACGATGTGTTAGATATTAATATTAAACACGTTATCCATTGATTTAATGTTGAAACTAATGTAACAATTATTTATTGACGCTATTAGTTATAAATGTTTGTCTATTGTCAACAATTATGAATATTATTTTGTACATACTTTAACCCTTTCAACTACACGCTTATTATAACTATAAATAATGTTTTAAAAGTTTATATTTTAATATTGATTATAAAATAGTTTAATTTAATTTTCAATAATTTTATGATTATTTTATTTTATTAAATCAATTAATTAATAAATTTATTTATTTATATCGTGTATTAGTGTAAAATTATTATAAATAATATTATTTGATTAATTAGTTTTAATGGATATAATGAACGTAATTAATGTTTAATATATTAAAGAGTATTGAATTGATTGTATAGTATTTGAAGAAAACCATTGAAACACAAAAGGCATTGAATTTTGGTTTTCGTTTCGCATTTGTTTCGGTCAACAGAAGACTTAAAAGGACACCAAAAGACAATGGTTTTCGATGTCAAGGAAGACGTGAAAATGAATTCACATAATATGTCTTTGAATGGCGACGGCAATGGTATTGCCATCAGAAGAGGTGTGATTGATGGCAAAAATGATTTGCTTCAGCAAATCGGCGGTCTTTATATGAATGACCAAACAAGTGATATTAAACTTAAAGTCGAGGGTCAGGTACTGCCGGCACATAAAAGCATTGTCTCCGCCAGAAGTCAGTATTTTTTTAAGCAGATCTTCGGCACCGACGGCGGTGCCGGTGATCACCGGTCAGGCAGTTCACTAAAAGGCGGTACTCTTGAGATGTTCGGCACGACTGCCAGTGCATTGAAAATGGTTCTCAAATATCTCTATTGCGGTGAACTTGTCGTCGAAGACTTGGGACTTGAAGTTATCATTGATGTCCTGACTCTTTCACATCGATGCAAACTTTTGGAAATTGTGTCCGGAATTTCCAATTATCTTAAAGACATCGTTGCCATTGATAACGTTTGGACAATCTATAGCGCAAGCAATCTCTTTGAAGAGACCAATTCGTTGGCCGAGTTTTGTCTACGATTTATGGATTCATCGGCTGTTAAACTGTTGAATCACGAGACGACTTATGCACAGACTGTCAGTAATTTCAAACTATTGATTAATCGCAAGACTTTTGACGCTCCAGAAGTGGAAAAGTTTAAAGCGGTCTACAAATGGATTAACAATAATCCAGAACTCGATTCAAAAGATTTGGTTAATTGTGTTAATCTTCAGCGGTTGGGTCAGGAAGAGTTGCTTCAAGTGGTTAGACCAACACATTTGGTGACTGATTCACAAATTTTGGATGCAATTACACCGAAACGCAAAAGAGTCTCATTGGACACTTCGACCAATACTGAAACGATCAAAATGGAGGCCATCGAGTTTACGCCGAAGTTTACCATTAAGACTATGAAACACGAGACAGAAGCTGTCGGTTATTACTATTTTATTGAATTGACTGAACCATATGAGATCAATCACATTAAGATGCGATTATCTGAATTGATTTCTGGCAAAGGAGAGTATAGTTATTTCATTGAGACCTCAATCGACAATGAAAAGTGGATGAAAGTGATCGACTATTCGAAATTCATCTGTAGATCGTGGCAACAGCTCTTCTTTGATAATGTTAATGTCAAATACATTAAAGTCGTGGGCACTAAACCTGATGGCAAAATTGCTGATATAATTATCGATTCATTTGACTGCAGTTATAGTCACAGTGCGGCCAAACAAGAGAATGGATTCATAATACCGACCGAAGACATCGCTAATCTTGATTGTGGAACAAGAATTCGGTATATTTTTGTTTATTAGAAATTAATCCAATTTTTTAATTATTTTTTTCTTAAATCTAGTTATCCTATCAATCGTCACGACTTATATCTGTTGCATTCAACCCAACGCTACGCTTATTTCATTCCGGTTCGTAATTTTGGTGACGACTTGAAGAAGAATGCATTCAACATACAGTTGGCTCAGCCCTATCTACTCGATTCACTTGAGTTTAAGATCTACCACAAAGACAGCAATGATTCGTATAGATATTATGTGGAAGTTTCGGCAGATGAGAAGTCATGGGAACGTATTATTGACCGAACAGACAATCCAGGACAAGGCCTACAAGTTCTTAAGTTTTCGAAACTTCCCGTTTGTTTCGTCCGAATTGTAGGAACCGCTGGTGTCGGTCCCGGTTGTAGTAAGTTCTTGGGCTGTAGTGCTTTGAGATGTCCCGCTATTAGCAATCCTGAGGACGAATAGTCAGACCATATATTATTAACTTTTATTTTGTTTTTTATTTTTTTGTCATTTTGTTTTAATATCTTAATCATTATAACAGTATATATTTATATTGACAAATATGTGATCACAATTTAATTGTATTAACTATCATTTAATTTACCAAATAATTTACAACAACAAAAATAACTGAATCATTGCATTTGATTTTAAATTATATATATTGCAACAAAATATATGTCTTGTATTGCAAATCATTATTTAGTTAATTACAATTTGTTTGATTCATTCCTACTATAAAATCATTAATTTTTTCAAAGAAAATCGTTTTTGTATTTTTTTTTTGTTTTTTAAATAATAAAATCATTAAAAAATATTTTAAAGATTGTAAACAGCTTTGATTAGTGGAAAATCGTTGTATTCACTGATAATATTGTCTTCAAATTTCAAGTACACAATCAGCGACTTTGGTATTGATATTTGTTGTATTAGATTCTTATCATTGATTCGGTTCTGAAGTTTTTCTCGTATTGCAATTCGCGCCAAACTCTTAAGTTTTAGTGGAACAAAGTTTTTACTTTGGATCCAATTCTTATATTTGCCATTAATTGATGAATTAATGTGTGCTTTGAAATGTGGGTTTTGATGAATGCCGGCTTCAATCAGCAAATCAAACATTTGTATTGTCGTTTCATTTGACAAACTTATTGGTAATATCCATGGATATAATATTGCTTTGGTAACGGAAACGCCAACTCCGATCAATTTCCTGACCACACTTACCAATTCCCGTTCAATAGCCATCGCCAGTGGTGTCCCTTTGGCGTTACAAAACCTATTGTTTCCGATGTCCAGATTGAGGTCACACAGGTTTAGCGAAAGTAAATAATCCAAACATTGAATCGACAGTTGATATTCACGTGGAGTGGCATTAAGTCGGATGTCGTTATCGATGCAGCAGATGATTGCGTGAAGAACTGATCCGATGTCTGTGTCAAGTTTATTGACATCACATCCTCTATCAATGAGAGCCTCTATGATTAGTTTTGCTAAATCAAAGTGTCTCGTAAACGATGATATAATATAAACGAAGTGATTAAGTAAAGGCATCGGTAGACAGTCGCAGTCGACTACCGTTTCTGCAAAACAGTTGCAGAGTATCCGGTCTTTGAGAGACACAGTATTGTCGACACTTGTAATGCATTGAAGCAATTGTTCCGGACATTCAATGATCAAACTTGTGAATACATTACACGGATATCGATCACCGTTATTCAGGAACCGATTAAATGATTTAATTCGTTCAGACATTGATTTATTTTATAGAAATTTTTGTTAAAAAAGGCTAAAAACTCGTAAAAACCCTTTGTGTTAGTCTATTGATGCAAATTTAGGTCAAACCTGATCTATAAATGCAGACCACATTTAATGACCGATTTTTTTTAAAAAAAACTTGTTCTTACAATACCTTAAACTCTTGATCCTGTTTTTGTAAGAAGTTTTACAACTAATCCAAAAATACGACTATAAAAGTGCTGAAACAATAGCTGTATTTAGTTTTTATTTAAAATTAAAAATAAAATATAAAAGTTTTGACAATTAGTCTCTTATCAATATTTATTATGTATTTTATTTATTAATTTAAAAAAATAATATTGAAACACCTGCTAATTGAGTTATTTTTATTTCAGTAAAATAAATACATGAGCTATAAGAGAGATAACAAGTATTTTACTACAGTATTATATACTTAAAATAATACTGAATAACAATAATTATTATTGAATTTAACTTAACTTTAGACAAAAATTCTTTATTATTACTTATTATTTATATCATAAATCATGAAAATATAATTAATTAATAATTCATTGTTAATTATTATTATTATTATTAATTAATTAATAAAGTTCAATAGTGAATTGCATTAGACTTTAGCTTAAAATTAAAATATGTCTTAAAATATGTATATATATTTTATTTTATAGAAGTGTTAAAAATGTAATATAGGTTTTTAATTTTTTAATTGCTTTATTATAATCAGATTTTAATTAAATTATTATTTTATTTTAAATAAATATTCTTATTATATGATTTACAACAAAGATTATAATAACTAATTAAATAATATTATTTCATGTCATGATATTAAATAAATAACTAAACCGTTTGTCTGCATAATTAAGCATAACATTAATTTATATTGAATACGGTATATCACTAAATATATTATTTTTAGTTATTTTTAATATGATATTAGTTTTTATATTTATTATTAACATAATATCAAAACATGGATGATATATACATAAATCCAATGATGGAATCAATCAAAAGACAATCCATAAATTTATTGAACAAATGCATCGAAAAGAAATTAATCCTAAAGTTAAGCAAATGGCTAATAATTATCATTAATATCTGTGTTATTGTCATCTCTTGTTATATATTTAAAACTCTTTGGAAATCACTTACAGAAGAGGAACAAGAATTGAAACGACAGAGACTGTTGAAGAATACGGAACTACCGATAGTTGACTTATTGGTTGTTGTGGTCACCCGTAAGGCTGTGCTCATTACAACTGTTATGATTTCCGTTACATTGGCCACAATCGGACTGATCGGTGCTTATAAATTAAATATCTGTTTGTTAGCCATTTATGATATATTCTGTGCCATAACGGCCACAATCTTAGCGCTCGGTTATAACAATTATAACGATTATCTTCTCTACTATGGTATCACTATTTCAGTTATAACTTTGACGACAATAATTGCATTTTATTTAATCAGAGCCGCGAAAGATGAGCCAAATTGGATTAAAAATCGTAGGATTTTAATCAAATCCAATAATAATATTTAAGTTTTAATGTTTTTTTATTTATTATTATTGAAAATTATTTACTATATATTAAACAAAATATTGATAAAATTATTAAATAAACACAATCATCAAATGATTTAAAATTATAATTATAAATCACATTAAATAATTAGTATTATAAGTATTACACAGAATAAGTATTATAAGTAAAATTATATTTAAGGTTTTGTTAATCACCGGAAATATACGGTAATTGAAATTAATATTAATCAAATATTTTATATAATTAAAGTACAAAAAAATTTAAAAAAATTAAGTCAACTAATTATTTTAATTTTAAGTCAATCTATTGACAAACTTGTAATTTATATTACTGTAATGTGATAACAATATATTTAAGCAAACAAACAAAAATGTTAAATGATTTTTTAAGTTAAATATCTCTATTTATATTAACTAAATCAGACAATCAAAAAAAAAAAATCTAAATGAAAAAATGTAATTATCTTTAAATTGTAATTAAATATTAAGTGTTAATTATATGATAATATAATATCGATAACATTTTGTGGCCATTATTACTGTATATGATATACAATATTAATTTGAGGGTTTGTTGTTTGGTCTGAAAGCTCGACCCCTACCGATGCCCTGAAATTTGTTAGACGGCTCTGAGTCGGAAGCAGTCTTTTTAGTAGCAAATGGCATATTCTTAGGCATCCGTATATCATCTGATTGATCGACAAAATGTCTGAATAATCCATTGCTTTCAATCCATTGGTTAGTCTTCTGTTTCTTAGTCGTCGAACTGATGACATTAGAGAGACCTAAATCTGGTAAAAATCCAAATCTATTCATCGAAGCATTGATTGGATACACAAATGGTGATGTCTTAATCAATTGCTTCGGCGATTGTTTTTCTTCTTCTTGCAATTCTCTTATCTTTTGACAAACCATTTGTTGATACTTTTTGCGTTCAGATTTGATCATACGTTGGACATGAATGGAATCATTGAACGGTTTGCCAGCGCTTTTGATGAACCGTTCCTCGAAAACTTCTTCAGCAGTCCATTCATTCTTTCCGAGCGCCGATTCAATCATATTAACCGATTTCCCGCTCTTATTGAAACCCGAATAGTCATTGCTGGCGGCGGAGGCGCCACCACTGCTATTACCCCAACCGTCGTCTTCTTTGATATCATTGACGTCTTTATCAATTTCTTCTACTTTGTTGTCTTTCTTATTCTTCTTCTCTATTTTCATCAACAAATTGTTATCTCTATCGTCATAATACTTCAGTGTCGACAATGAGTCGGGACATCGCAACATGTGTTGTCTAATCTGGTCTTTCGGGAACCGATGTCCGGCATTGAACGGACATTCTTCCAGTGGATTACTAATCTCGTGTCGTTTGGCACACTTAGAGATGTGTTGTTGATATCGACTGGTCTTTACTTTATGATTCTTGTCGTACGGACACAAACGAAGACCCAATGATTGCAAATCCATTGTAAAAAACCACGAAATGAGTGATAATTTCGGACAAAAACAACGAAAACAACGAATCGGTAATCAATTTGTTTGTCAACTATTGTCTGCTATTTGTATGCAAACTATGACTCAATAGTTGACTCTTTTGTTTCATTGCTTTCATTCAATGACTTCGAGTCTAAACTTTTGAGTCAATGATTAGTATTTTAAATGTTTTGTTTTAAACTCATTATATGTGCGAAACACTAATAATTAAATGAAAAAAAAACATTTTTTATCATTAATTTTAATATTCAGTCCTAAACCGGAAATTTAGTTACAGTTTTGAAAACTAATGGAAAGTTTTTACACATATTTTTTGTGTCATTCAATATCCGATCCGAAACTTTCAAAAAGTTTTTCATTTCTAGTATTTTTTTCAAACTTAAGCGCTGTTTTGCGTGACTTGAGATTCACATCCAATAACACGTTGTTTATGTGTAGACCACGTGATGCACGTGTGATGTGAATGTGTTGTAAATAATTGGATGAATTCATATAATAATCAATTGTTTGTGACTTACCATCGCTGGACATATCATTGATAAACCATTGTTTAGTTACTTATGATATAATCGCCAAACAGATGCCAATGGAGTTACACGTTGTCGACGACGATAGTGACGGTTCAGAACCCGAAGAGATTAATGTCAGGACAGCTAAAGAAGCCATTAAGACATCGATCGCCCAACAGAAGAATGCCATCAAAAATGCCAACGATTTGCTTAAGAAGAAACGCCAACTGATTGATGAACGAAACTGTCAGCAAAAGAAAGCCAAACAGTCTGTCGTCGACAAGTTGTCCGACGATGTGTTGAATGAAATCACTATTGGATCGAAAAATCCGGAGATAAAGACATCAGACGAGACATCAAAAGATGATACCAAACAAGTGTCTCGAAAGAAGAAGAATAAGAAGAAGAAGTCGTTTAAATTAATAACAGAATCGACGCGTTTCGATGTGATTGATATGAATGAAGACTTGAAGCAAATGAGTTCAGCGGTGATGACAAACAAAAAAAGTTGTGTCAACTTTAAGGACGAAATGTTGTATAATAGGAAACGGAATCATCGGATCTCCTCAAAGATACACCAATTCTATACTCACAAACAAAGATTATCAACAAATAGAAAATAAACACTTTTTCCTTATTTGATATTTATTTGTATTTTATTTGCTTTTATTTCTAACCATTATTTACATACATTGTTATTGTTGTCGATATCTAAATAAATGATAATTACTGTTAAAGAAGTTAAAAATATTATACTAATGTTTAACGAAAAAAAATAATTTTCACACAAATTGAAAAATAAATGCATTTATTAATGTATTTATGTTCTTATATGTATATTATTAGAGTTATGATTTTTAGTGATTAAAATGTGTGATTACCGTAAATCAAAATTTGAATTATTATTATTTTTTATTGTATACTTTTATATAATAACTAATACAGATATATTATAATTTTTATTATCAAATAAAACAATATTATCTAAATATGATAAATATGTATATATATATATATAGTATTTATTATCTAGCTGATATCTTAATTTTATTCAACTTAATTTTAAAAATTAATAATATTTATTACATTTATTAGATTTTGTATAAATCTTGAATTGGATATATATATATATGACTAAAATTACACTCATTTAAAATTTAAATTTAAATACTATTTTACAAAAGATATGTCACAACTACAGTAGATTTTCTATAATATATGTTTAATTATCGGTAATAATGGTAAACACATATAGGAATATCAATAAATGTAATGCTCTCTAAATTATGATTAATAATGATTATAATACTATATAATTAATTTTATATATTTTGAAACTATGTTATGACTTTTCTTGTTAATAGCAAACTAAGTGATAACAAAACTGATAAAAATGTCGTAAAAGGTGTCGACATTTGACCGGAGTTGCAGAGATCGGTATCACAAAAGCAAGCATTAGTTCTGCCGCCATATCCGGCCCGATAATAGCACGGTTTGGATATGTCTCCATCAGCAGCGCACTGGCGGATCACTCGATGGTGTTTCTTTAGTTCTGATCAAATAATTTTTATATATTAGAATAATAAGTATGTAATTGGTTTGTATAGTTAACCGCATACCTGGACCGTCGTCATAGTCTACCCATTGGTCAATTTTACGGCACCCGACAAAGTTGGATCCACCAAAACCATTGGTACAGTTGCGTTCAAACTTTTCCGGATGAATTATACAGTCCGGGTCTATAAAAGAGTTGCATTCATAACATGATATATGTTTTGCCTGTATGACCGGTGATGAACTCTTGTGGCTGCTGTCCAGTGATGGTAACGGATCGCCTATAACTCCAATGGAAGAATCTGTCAATTGTTTAGTCCAGAGTTGTTTAGTTGCGACGGACTGATCCTCGTTATTGGCCAGCAATGAGTTTTGTTGAGCAATACCTGTAAAATTGTAATTTATATGATATATTCAATTCATCCTTTTTATGATAACAGGCAATGAGTTTGCAATTTTATTGTTAACTGTAATTAACTAAAACATTATGTTTTTTATTGCCAATAATAATGCTATTTCATCAATAATTATCCGGTTATATACTGTATTTGATATATTGGCATAAAAATAAATTCATTCAAATGTTTGTCATTCAATGATTTATATATATTTTTAATTTATGCTATTTTAATATGCTAAGCCATGTATTGTCGATCATCTATGAAATATTCAATTTCAAAAATATGATTTATAAAATTTTCTTTTTTATAATAAACATTTCAATTTTAAATAATTATATAAATGATAAAGAGTATGATATAACTCTATATTATAGTAAATATTAAACAATTTATTATATTAATCAATTAAATCTATCTATAATTCATTATATATTATATTTGAAGACAATTTTATTGTCAAGCTTATCCATATACACTTTTATATTGAGTTATAATATTAATATATAAAACTAATAACCTTATATAACTACTGTATATCAATTGAGTTATTTGTTAAGTTTTCCATACAATAAATAAATACCATAATTGATACTTAAAAAGAATATATGGAAAAATAAATTATATTACCAATTATTGTACAGATATAATATTTGTTTGAATTTATGTATTATATTAACATTTTTTCTTATTTATTAATGTTATACTATGTTCTTAATATAATAAATTAATATGAAGACAAAAAATTATAATGTTAAACAAAAATTTATATTTTATTTAAAAATGTTATATAATATAATAAGTAATAAATAATCTCATATATTATACATTATTTAAACATTCATTTTATAAATCATATCTTTTAGAGACAATCTCTTAACTTGTCTAACATTTCACACACAATAATAATATATAATACAAGAAAACATGAGTATATGATAAAAAAAAAAAATATTATCAGTACAGTATTACGGCATGTGATTTCATGGCAATGATTATATTATTTTTTAATTATTTTTTAAATAAATTAAATTCTAAATTACATTTATAAATATCTATACTATTTTTTGTTAAAAATTGTAATACAATAGTTAATTTATATAATCTTACAAAAATTACTAGTATATAATTTTCAATATACAGTACTTACAGATTATAAATTGTTGACAAACGATGGCAATTAGGAAAATATTGATTATATTTAAATCAAGCATATTATCCCACATTTAAAATATATGTGTTAAAATATCTATTATATAATTATAATAGATAATCAACAACAACAAAAACTAATTATAAAACAATTTCAATTGATAACATAAATATAATTACAAATATAAAAATTGTTTGAATAGTTTTATCAGAAAATTATTTGTATGACTCTATCCTCTCTCTCTTTCCTATCACTAGAATTTGATCAAACAATTCAATACAATTTTGCGAATACAATATTATATGCTTTATTTACTATTGAATGTGACGTAAAGTTTTTTTTATTTCATTATATTTGTAAAAACAGCCAATCATTATGTGTTACAATATATTTCAGAGATTATAAATAATTTATTGATATGTATTATTGTTATTTGATTTAAAATTAAAATTAGTGTCTAACTTTAGTCTAACTAACTAATCAAACTAAACATACGGTACGTTATGTGTTTACAATATACAACTTAAATAGTACTAAAAACTAAAAAACTTTTAGATAAAGTAATGTATTCATATATATTTAGTTTGCAACTTCCAATATATGATATAATAATATTTAGTTTAATATAATCTTTAATTAATAATGCAATGGGTAAACAAAGAAAAAAGGTTTATTATTACTATGCTATCCATTTAAAAGTGCTAAAAAACTAGTCACTATAAAAGTAAGTAAAAAATTGGTAAATAGTTACTTAAAAGTTATTTATTTTCAAACAATTTTTAGTAATTTTTTCTACATAGTTTAATTTTTCGATCTAATATTTTATCAAATTGTTATTTGTTTTAATTAAAAATTATTTATAACATTAAAAACTACGTTTATTGTCAGCAATTGTAAAAAAAATAATATTTGTTTAATGATAAATCATATAATGTTAAATGTTTTTGTAGTCACTATTTCTCTAGACTATGATTTATTTCTCTTTATTTTTACATAATTGCTATAATAATTATAGATATTTTTATTACATTATTTTTTATCATTAAAATTGTGTTAAATTAAAGGATTTTAGTTAAAAATTAATCAAAAGTTAACAAAATTGATAAAAGTTAATAAAGACTTAAAATTTATAGTTGATATAAAATTTTATGTAAATGCTCATTTTCATATAATATACTAATATATTTAATATTATCTTATTCTCCGATATCGGTAAAAATAGTTAAATAACTTCAAATGGAAACCCTAATTATTACAATTAAAACTAATAATAAAAGTTCGTATAATAAAGTATTGTATATAATAAGTACAGTTTAGTGTATAATAAATAATACATTTCTAATCTTTTATCTCTAATAAAAATACATAATTTATAAACTTTTTACTTATACTACAGTATTAATATTTATATACAATGATATGTAGTGATTTAAAAATTAATTTGTGACTATTATCATTATATTATTTATATACAATATAACATAATGCTTTTATAAGTTATTATTAATTTATATTTTAACTAATTATAAGTAATTTTAGCTATAAGTACTGTATAATAGATCGACATAAAAAATATTAGTCATTATAATAATTGATTGTTTGAATTGGAATATTTCAAACTTTTCTTTAATAATATTTATATCATAATTTTTTATAATATATGAAGTAATGTTATTTTCATTATTGATTTTATTTTTCCATATAAAATAATTAAATCTATTAGTCTAACTTATCTACAGTAGTATTATACTGAAACATTTACAGCATATTGTGAACTAATTTATTTGGTCATTTTAATTTACCCTCCTCAATAATGTTGCTATTAATAGTGCTTATTGTTTTTATGGGCCATAGTTTATATACAGCATAAATAATGTATAGTATTATAAAATGTATAATTTAAAACTTCAATTATCAACTATTAATTCAAAAATAATTTTTAATTATCACATTATAATAAAATAAAAATATATAATACAATCATGTATAATATTGTATATATAATACATATATAGTACAGTATATATAATAATAATAATACTTACGGTAAATTATTTCATAGTAATAATTATTACACATTTCATTAATAAATTGATTTGCAAACAATTATATTTCAACACTTTTCTATTTTGATTCATAATTTTATTATAACAAGTAATAACTGTAGAAATTACAATTATATTTAAAATATTTATTATAAATAAACTGTTATTTTACAAAACAAAACAAAAAGTTTTTACAAATTAATATTGAGATAGATATACAATAGTAATATAAATAATTAATAAATAATTAATTTAGATGTTTGCAACAATTGCAACATGTTTTAGTAGTAATAATTTATATTACTATTGATATTATTACGATAATTATTAATAATTAATTAATAGCATATTATAATAATATTAATTTAACAAATCTAATTAATATTAATTAATTTGATGATAATAAATTTATTAATTTTGGCACAATTAAAAAGTTTATTTACGACTAGAATAGCATCAATTATCATAAATATTTTGTTATTAGTATATATTATAGATTCTAAGGTAATCATTATAAGCTTTTAGTGCTAATAATTTGATTTTTTAAAAATAAAATAAAGGTAAAAATAAAATTTCAAAAATTTCAAATATGTTTTACATTTTACAATTATATACACGATATTATATGTCATATATTAATCTCCTGTCATAATAAAAGCACCATCAGTTCAATCAATAGATCATTCAATATATTACTATTTGAGAATAAATTCCTATAAATTCTGTATATAATAATGAAATTTCTAATCATTCATATCACAAACAAAAAAAATATAATAACATTTACAACTATTTTATATAAAATAATTTTTAAAAATCACTAAATTAAAAATGAGTACAATTTTAGCACAATTAATGTTAATTGAGTCATTAAATTTAAAGAAATCACGATTTGATATTAAAAAAATGGACGGAATTTAAAAATTTCTTGCAGTTTTTTGTCAAAAATTCAATTATCCTTATTATCTAATGTTTTATTAGTTTGTTGTTTTTATTATTATAGATTGCTTGTTTGTAGCTATATCTGTATATATATATATAAAATAATAAAATATTAATTAATATGAATATATATTGTTTGTTTGTTATTATTATTATTATGTTAAACATAGCACAAATTACATATAAACATTTGCTATTTTCATATAAACTTTAATTAGATAAATTAGATAAATTGTTTTTATTGAATAAATTAGGCATAAATTAATAAATTAAAAATATTAAAATATAGTATAATAAAGTAATGGAAATTTTTGAAAATATTAATAGATTCTATAGTATTAAATAATTTAAATAAACAAATAATAACTATATTAAGGTTTCAAGTTTTGCTTACTCGGCAAACTATAGTTAAAACAATTTTAAATAATCAAACAATATGTGATTAATTAATCATAATTGATACCAAATTGTAATTATAATAAAACTAAATGATAAACTAAAATTAGATTTTTGTAAATTTATCTAAAATAAATTATACATATAATAACAACTGTATTATAATTATAATAAAAATATCGGTAATTGCAAGCAATATTAGAAATAAATAAAAACAAATTTGAAATAATAATTTTATTTATAAGATAAAAATAACAATATTGCATATTCACATTAAAAAAGTAAGTAATTCATTATTTATATTAATTTTTTTAATAAAAAAACAATCTAAAATTTATCACAAGTTTGAATATACGATATAAATGCTACAAATAATAATAATAATAATATAGATAAAATATTTAAATCATAAATCATAACAATAAAATGACGGCAAATATAAAATTACTTCTTAATTAAAAAATAATCAAAAAATAAGTTTAATTTAAATAAAAAACATTTAAAATTTGCTATCAAAAATGCATTCAATAATTCATTAATTTTATAGAAGAGGTAACTATAATAATGATCTCGCATTTTGTTTTGCTTTTATCGCTTGTTATAAATAACAATAATTATTAGCATTCAATTATACACTACATATGATATAATTAGGTAATAATAAATTATAACATATAAATTAAATGTGACTTTCATTTATACTTTATTATTATTATTATAAAAATGACTAATAATAAATTCAATAGATTAAAAAAAAGTATAACAAAAAAGCACGTAAAGTCTGACCTCAAAATATTTAAATGATTTTAATTATAAAAAACACAATTCATATTCACTCAATTAAAACATAAAACAATAAATTTTAATGACGACAATTAAAACACAAAATACAATTAAAAGACATCTATTATGTAATTTGTGCTTTAATTTCAACATTTTTTGTTTATAAGATTCTTAATTCAATTGATTATTATTACCTATCGGAAGAGTAATTCTTTTTAAAAGTAGTTATAATCGGTGTATCATTTGTGTCGTCACCCGTTTCCTCACCGATCGCTGTGGACAGCAATGGTTGAGCCGCTGATGAGCTAATCATTTGAGTTGAATTTAAGTTATTTAATAGATTCAGTTGCGATAACTTTGATTTCATTGCCGACACATATATGATGTATCTCTTTAACTGTTAATTTAATAATAAATCATTTATATAAAAAAATACAACAAAATTAAAAATTAACACAAAATACCTCATATTGTAAATAACTTTGTTGTTCAGCAAAATCACTTAATTGTCTTTTTGAGGTTTTCTTTTGGGGTGTTTTTGATAAAAGTTGATTCAATTGCGACTCCAGACGTTCAACTCTTCTCTCGTGATCTAATAGTTGGTCGCACTTTACATTCAATTATAAAACAAATTATATTAATATCATAAAACAATTGCTGAAAAAAAATAATATAAATAAATACCAAATTATATTTCGTATGACTGACAGGTAATAAAGGTCTTTGAAATTTTCTAACATCCGAACCAACGGCTTCAGGAAGAGGTGGAGCCGATAGACTAGCGGCTACTGTATTGATAGTATCGATCCACGATTGCAACTCTCTTGAATCACTATATATAATGATAATAAAGTAATAATTCAATTATAGTTCCGGTAATTTCTGCACAATTAGCAATCAAATGGCACACATACCTTGTCTGGAACAGGTATTCTGAGTGGTCGGCAGTTAACAATCGGAATACAAATTGCTTTTTAGTGTAATCACTGGCATTTGATGCCAATGCGTGATGAACTCGTATTGAATTGTTTAGACTTTCATACAATTGATTTTTTCTAAATCCCTGTTCATCTTTATGTAAGTATAATATCAGATCTCTGAGCGTTGCATAAAACATTTTCCAGCCTCTCTTTCCCACCGGTGCTGTATAAGTCATACAAAGCTCTTATTAATAAATATATTAACATTAATTTATTGACAAAGTTATTACTCTTTTTGCCATTTGATTCGTAACATGACTTTCTCATAACATAACCCTTTTTATATTCAGTGGCACTGTTAGGGTTCGGCACTTCAAGAAAAGGATTGTGACCTATTATGCTGACCTGTTGGCTAAGATTGGCGGCCAACACATCGATTGGTGTCTTATCAGTGGACGAGTTCTCATTACTGTCATTATAAGGAAAAACAATTTTTAATAGAAATTAAAAAAACAAATAAAAAAAAGTTATTACGAATCCCACTGAAGAGGCGAATCTTTGATGGCCTGATAGAGCTGTCTAAGACAATCCCGGGGAAAGTCGTAGCCCTCATTCATTCCCGACAGGTTCTGAACAAACTCATTGCATGTCATTTTGCGTCCAACATTCTGTTGACACCGATATAAATGTCAAGTTTTTTGTCAATTTAATGAAAATATTAAGCCTTACCTCTCCGTGAAGATCAGTGTTAAGTAACATCAGAGCACAAGTGAGCGTATGTATGGCATCATTGGATCTGAAGGAACCGTTTTGGTTGTACTCATAGAAACGTTTGGAAAAGTGTACCAAAACTCGTTCTCTTTCTTGCGTTTCACCGATCAGACAGAAATTTGACAAAAATTTCTTTAAGGCTAAGTCTAGAGTATCATCAGTGAAATCAAAATATTTTAAATATTCTTCGGCCACAACACGACTAAACTCATTATTTTTGCATAAATGACGGGAAACGTCGGACTTTTTGAAGCCCTCTAAGTTGTACAACCTTTTGGCCAAACGGATGGCACTGGGAGTGTCAACACCCTTTGGTGGCGAATAATTACTTTCAGTATCGGATGATTCTTCATCGGAACCACCGATTGTATGCAATTGTTGACCAGTCGTTAAACCATTTCGCTTAATATCAATTAGTTGATTGGATTTTGTAACTATAGATCCATTCACTAATTTATTATTATTATTATAATTGTTATAAATATTATCATTAATATGATTATTGTGATTAATATTCATATTACTGCTATTGTTATTACTATACACATAATTAGCACCAATCTTACGGTCATAATATCCGTTTAGCTCTTTGACACCACCTTTGAGCTCATTGTATGAACAATCAAAGTCTTCCAAATTATTCCTCAAGAGTTGATCCTCAGGCGAAATGGAAGGAGTGCTCGAGTTTTCATCACTAAAAGATGAAGACAATGAAGTATTCATTTGATTATTGTTTTTCGTTTTAGATTTATGTCTACTTTGATCTATGGTTTGACACGAAATAGAGCTAATTAGCGAATAGTTTTCGGACATCGATGACTCAGTTTGTTCCGTATGATCGATGGTATTGAATGTTAATGTCTTTGTCGGCGATATGTTGGCCGATGAACTGGTACTCAAACTTTGGCAATCATTTGGCGATGATTTGTTGGACGAAGAGTTGTTGGACAATAGGAGCTGTTCATCTTCGTTAAAATTGTGGTCACAATTGTCTGGACTGGAATTTGATGACGTTTTAGAGCTATCAGTCAATTGTCTGTCACTTAACATCGTTGTCAATGAATGACTACAACAATCTTCGGCACAGTTTATGTCCATAGCTGACGACAGATTGTTTGCCGCCAACAAATGGTCATCACTTTTGTGGAAACGAACCAATGGTAAAGACATTTGTCGTTTATTTATAAAATCATTCATAACATCTTCATTGTTATAGTGATAACTATCACTTTCTTCAATCATCATATGATTGCCCGATACAAGTGTTTGTGTCTCTTTGTGTTCAGAACTGCCGCCGTTTCGGTGGTTAACACTAATATCACTGTTACTGATGTCCTCTCGGGATGGAGTCGTCGGTTCAGAGTTAAACTCTTTATTGTTGCGCTCAAGTCTTGACGATGGCATCAAATTTGGTGCCGATTTGAGTCTCAGATTATTCTTCTGGCGGTAAGACTCTCCGGACTTAGTGTTCGTTAGATTTATGATGAGATCGCCGGTCATCATAAACCAGTCCTGATGTCTGGTTGCTGTCGAGGACGACATGTCCGACATGTGTACTGTCCGTTGTTGTTGTCACCGCACTAATGGATCAATTGATAACTCGGATGACAACAACAATCTGTGGTATATATTGTTTGTCAATACAACAGTCAAAACACTGGGAAACCAATCGATTGCTATAACAATAATAGACTCAATCAATGCATAGACAATATATAATAGACATATAGAGACACCTATTGGCACACATGTTGTCACTTAACAGTCAATACATTGAATGTATTGATTGTTTCAGTGATTGACTGACTGTGAGGACAGCACTCGAGTCTATAAATGTTTTCCTATCACTCATTGAGTGCAGTGTTCGCACTGTTTTCACTTTCATTGAAAATTATAATCAATTTATTTGGCCATTCATTACATACACTGTTCAATGGTTTAGTACATGTATTCAATTTATACAGATATATCATATGTAGTATACTGTATTGTAAAACTTCCAATACTGTATTGCTATTGTATTTAAATAATATATAAGTTATGGTTAGTTATATTATATACAAACACAATAGGCAAACATAATGTCTAGTTTTATGTATAATTTGACGCCCAATAGTGTTTGCGTTTCATAACTTATTTTTTTTTATTTGTTGCCAATAATTGTTGCATTGAAAAAAACTGATGTTTACTTTATAAGATGATTACATAAACACATAAAAAATAATTTTCAACTATTTTTTTCATATAATATTTTTCAAACAAACTTATTGTGTGTTATCTCTATTTTTTCAATGTAATCATTAAAACAAAAAAAAAACATTAGATTAATTGAAAGATGCCATATGTTAGTTGAAATTTTTTATGCACTCATTTAAAATAAAAAAGTTTATAATAGTAATGGTTTTTAAAATATTTATAATTTAATATTTAACAAAACTTTTTGTTTGTTTTTATATTTAAGAAATATTCAAAAAATCAATTACTAATACATAACACATAACAAAGTAATTAAATGCTATTTATTATTAAAAAACACATTGATTTTAGTTTTAATGATCACTTTTATGTATAGCTTATAATGAAAGCACTCAAACAAACAAAATATTTTATAAAAACTTAAGTTATAATGAATTTTATTGTTATGTATGGTATAATACACATTATATATGGTTTAATATGATTAATAATAAAGCAAATATTTCTTATTAAATGAGAAATTCATTGATTTTTATGCCGACAAAAGACACGACCAAAAAATAGTGTGCTTTTAATAGTGGATTACATTTATCATTAAATTCATAATACAATGGGTTTCATATAATATATTATTTCCGAAATGTATCAAAATATTTAAATAAATAATTGTATTTATGTAACATTTTTCAGCAGTGTATATATAATTTTTATTTATCATTTTTTCTCTTTTAATTAATAGTTTTTTAATGGAAATAAGATTAACGCAAAACAAAAATTTTTAAATAAATAAGCTTTTAAAAAATAAATAAACGAAAAAATAATAGGATATTTGATAATGTTTTTAAAAGCTATATATTATAACGGCATAGTATAATGATAATTATGATACATTAATTAAATTACAAAATGTTATTTAATATTATGTTATTATTCAACAACAAAAAATCAAATTATATTAATAATTTAGTAAATTTTATTACAGATTACTTAAATGATAATTTTTTATTAAAACCTTTTGATACATTTTGAAATAATACATTTTGTGAAGTAAATCATAATGTCATTGATTCGCACATTAAGTCAAAAAGCACTCCTTATCGGCTCAACAAAAAAAATCATATATTTGAATAAATAAATGTATAAAATAAGTAAATGAGAGAAATATAGTACTAAATAATATACAATGTATTTTATAGTACTTTATCACACTTTATATATTAATATACTGACACTTTTAAATAGGAATTGATTCACAATTTATGCATTAAAATAAATAAATAAAACAATTTATATCTATAATAACAACTTTTATGCAAAATTATACGTAACATTAAATTTAATAAAAAGATTTTGACTTATAAAAAATAAAATAGATTTATTCACTTAATATAGTAAACAATGTCATAATTTGACAAAAATGTTTGGCTTATTTATTAATATATTACATTTAATTTTAGAAAATAAAATCAATTATACAAAAATTACTACCATTTCCTAAAAAACAATTTTAAAATAAAATAACTTTAAAGAGTAAAATATAAATTTATTAAAAGTTGATTGCAGTGTTAGGAGTGAAAAAATTGGTCACAATTTGGGTGAAACCACCCATCGTTTATATATAGAGTTCATTGAATGGTTCAAAAATATATATTAATTGAAAGCCGTTTTTCTTGAGTTTCGGTGAAAAAAAAATCATTTTCATAGCAAATCTTTTCTCATTTGTATGAATCACACAATTTTTAGTTACAACCTCTCTCTCTCTCTCTCTCTCTCTCTCTCTCTCTCTCTCACACACACACACACACACACACACACACACACACACACACACACACACACACACACACACACACACACACACACTCACTCACCAAATGTGTCTCCAAAATTAAATCTCTAACCAGTTTTTAAAGATTATACAGTATATATATATATATATATATTGTGTATAAAAGAACATTGTTTATCACAAATAAATCATTACATAATATGATTCGCACCGTGTGTTAGGACAAAACCAGACATTTTATTGATAGCATACCTGTGCGCTACACAACTGTTACCTTACTTTAAGTGGCTTAATATAGTAATACCAATGGTTTGCAAACAGTATAATAATAATCAACAAATTTTATTGAATTATAGTATATGATTCATCTCTTAATTATATATTTTCCAAAAATATATTCATTAGTTTTTTGTGGTTAAATGAAAAATACTACTAACACTCAAACTATATTTTTATAAAACAATAAAAAATAGTAAGACTTTTAAATTAATTTAGACTCACTTTTCATGTTTTGGATGAAAATATTTTAATTAGCCATTAATCATCATAATACTAATTTTTTAGCAATAAATTAGTAATAAAATATTATATGAAATATCTGAAAAATATTAGTAATTTAATAATTAATTTTTATTTTAGTCATATAACTAATTAATAATTAGAGTTAAATTAATAAATAGAAAATTTAATTGTATGTCATATTCAATTGGGGTCAAAATTTACAAATAAATCCTTATAAAAATTTAATTTATTGCAGATATTTTTGAATAAAATATGTTAATTTTTATAAACTTATGCCGAAAGACATATTATATGAAAAATAATGTTAAATTGTATATCAATTATTTCTTAAGTATTTTTAGCACAAATACATAATAAAACTATTATTTTGATATTAATAGTAACAATTAATTTATATAAAAAATATTTCATAAAGCAAATATAAATATGTGAATTTTTCAATAGTTTGATTATATCTAATTTTCCCAGATACTATTATTATTATTACTAATGTTATGATTTTTAGCATTTTAGAAAAAGAAAAACATTAAAATATTATATTAGATTAAAATATCAAATTATAACATTTCAAATAATAATAAATAATTGATATCTACTTCCCATGAGATATACAGCACTTATTTTTTGCATCTCTAGTATAACACTATATTATTTTTATATTATATATCTATCTATACGGTTGAGTATCTCTTTTATTGTTAAGATTATTTAAGCTTTTATCTAATTTTATCCCTATTGTCACTGGTAATAATATTTATTATTAATATAGCTATATACAGTAATAGCTTATACTGTATTTTTAATTAATGTCAAAAAATATATGATGAAACATGAAACTGCTATCATTGACGACAATCTAACTAAATATATAACAGATGTGATACTGTTTTTGTCTTATATCTAATTATTATTTTTTTTGTTGATGTTGTTATTATAATCTTCAATAAATTAACCTTAAAATAAAAACTTTTAGTCAATATATTATTAAAAATAATAATTAAAATATTTCAGTATTATAATTACTGTTTATATTACAAAGTATATTATTATTATAGATTGCTATTTTAGGTACAGTATTATGATTATAACAAAATCATTATAATATAATAAAATTAAGTGCAAATTATATTTTATAAACACTCAATTTATTTAGTATAAAATAATATTCATCTATTTCATATTAATATTCTGTAAATAATCTATATATATACATACAATATACTAATAAATAAGCAATAATTAATTTAATATGTTAGCATGCTCTATATCAAATATTATGTATTATAGTTACCTGTTTATATATAAACTCAAGTTTCCATGGATTCATTAGTAATAGTAACACAAATTTATTTATACAAAAATTTCTTTAATAATATCTATGTATAATAAATACAGAATACAGTATTTTATATATTGATATACATATATATATATGTTTTAATAATTTTATTTTTCTTAGTTATAATATTTGGAATATATTTATGTCAAATTAAATAGTATATTATTACTTACTTAAATAGATTTAATTAACGTGAAACTATTTATAAACTACTTTACTTTTATTATAAAATTTTTTGCTTTTTTCATAATCTTAATATTGATATTATAAAATATGTTTTTATAAAGTATATACTATATGTTATGAAAAAACAATATAAAATATGTTTTATGTTATACATAATATTTGTGCTGTATCAATTTATAATGAATTAGCATTAGTTAAAAATGGATGCTAATTATCTTAACGATAATATTGATAATACTATCATAAACTCAGATAATTTTAGGGATGATTTTGACGAGTTTGACAGTAATATGCGTTTTCCTCTTTATATTAAATCAATGACAGGAACGACATTTCGTGTAGATGTTTGTCCATCAGATACCATACAACAGATTAAACAGCAATTGGAGAACACAGAAGGCATACCAGTTCGGGAACAGCACTTGATTTGGCGCTTCAATGAGCTCTTGGATGATAAGACTGTCAGTGAATATGGGATCGGATTTGAAGCTCAACTAGAATTAGTCATTGGTTTGACAACTGGTCCTGTTTTGAGAAGTTATGAGCAGTTATTAAGTGACAAAAATGACGATACATTTGACAAATGTCTGAAACAATTAGATGGTAAACCATTGACATTGATTTTGCTAAAAGATTGCCATCAAATCAAACTCATCTCAATCACAACAACTAATAATACTTTTACTACTGACCAACAAATTGATGGAAATGAGAGTTCATTGCATTCAATTAATTCAGACGACAATGAATTAGACGATGAGGTATTGAAAATAGAGGACTTAAATTTGAGAGACAATCAAAATGACAAACAAATGAGAGATAAGATGAATGAGATTCAAGAGAGACTCAGATTAGTATCACTGAAAAGAAATAGCAATAAAACTAATGATAACAAACAACAAGAAATATATAGTATTGTTAACAATAATAGTTGCGATCAATCG